ACACCCCTTTTCCTGCGTAGGCTCGAGAGAATCCCCTCACCAATTAGTCCTGGTGAACATAGATCCAGATCCTTGGATCTTAAAACAATGAAAAAATCAATCAGGTTCTTAAAAGAAGAATTTTATTAAAAGAAAAGGTAAAAATCATCTCTGTAAAATCAGGATGGAAAATAACTTTACAGGGTAATCAGATTCAAAGAGCCCAGAGGAACCCCCTCTAGCCTTAGGTTCAAAGTTACAGCAAACAGAGGTAAACCCTCTAGCAAAAGGAACATTTACAAGTTGAGAAAACAAAGATAAAACTAACACGTCTTGCCTGGCTGTTACTTACAAGTTTGAAATATGAGAGACTTGTGCAGAAAGATTTGGAGAACATGATTGATGTCCGGTCCCTCTTAGTCCCAAGAGCGAACACACCCAAAACAAAGAGCACACAAACAAAAGCCTTCCCCCTTTTCCCCCAAGATTTGAAAGTATCTTGTCCCCTTATTGGTCCTTTGGGTCAGGTGTCAGCCAGGTTACCTGAGCTTCTTAACCCTTTATAGGTAAAAGGATTTTAGTGCCTCTGGCCAGGAGGGATTTTATAGTATTGTATACAGGAGGGTTGTTACCCTTCCCTTTCTAGTTATGACAATAGTACTGACAAATGTGGGAGTAATGAGGTGTTGAACACTGGCAGTTCCCTTTTGACTTTACTGATAGTTCTGGGCACTCAATAAGTCTCAAGTCACGTGATAAATTTGGGGGAGTAGAGGTGAGAATTGGTTTGGGTATACCTGTGACTGCCAGAATGGGTCAGAAAAGGACGGTGCTTTGGGGAGTGTCAGCTCTTCTATCACATACATTTATATATGTTTGTTCCTGTCATTTTAGAGTAATAATATCACCTAGCACTTATGTAGTGCTTTTCATCAATAGACCTCAAAGTGCTTTACAAGGAAGGCCAGTATCATTAACCCCATTTTACAGAAAGGGAAACTGAGGCCCAAAGCAGTGAAGTGACTGCTCAAAGTCATCAAGCAGACCAAAGGCAGAGCTGGAAATTGAACCCAGATTTCCTGAGGTCACACTCTAGTCTCTGTTCTCTAAACCACACTGCCTCCTGAGTAGGCTGATGTTTCTGTTGGGAGTGGGTATTATTTCCAGCTAGAAGAGCAATCTACTCTTTTAGAAAGGCTATATTTAGTACATTCTGTGAATCTTGCAATATATATATTCAGCATTTTGGTTATTGGTATATCACGGTGTTGTATAAATAATTACACGGTCTCCCTTGCTCCAGAATAGGTGTGGTATTGATTTAATGAAATGTGTGAAAAGTGAAAAGGATATGGTGCAGTGTGAGAGAGAACCTGATGGTGTTAAAAGAAGCAAATTGTTATGCTTCAGCAATGTGAGAAAACTAAGTTATGTACCATGTTATATTCATTTCAGATATCTTCAGGCGCTCTTCATGAGGGATCTAAATGGAGATTATAATGGCAACTTATATATGTTTATTCTCAGCATTGCCTTCTCCACCAAAAAAAAAGATAAAATTTTTAATTAAATTCTTTATCTTTGATTGAAAATTTAACTTTCAAAGGAAGATTAACACACCATCATCAGTAACCATGGGATGATTTCATCACTGCTAATTTGAACCTGAAATGCATTAGCATATAGAATTCAGCTAGCTTTGTGAATTAAGAGCCTCTGATGTCTGTATTAGAAATATCCTGCAGATATAATTTACGTATCAAAGCTTCCATTTTACTTTTGTTACAACATATGGTGGTTAGCTGTGATGGTGCTTTATATTTTAGAGTGACAGTGGCTCATTGATATTCCCAACCATTTTCCACTGCTGAGGTAGAAATTCAGAATTACTCTTTGCCAGTGAGTGTGAAAAGAGAGAAAAACCTTTAGACATTTTGAACTCTTTTTTTAAAGTATTTGGCATAAAAAACATATCGTTTTAAAATATGCTGTAGAAAAGAGTAGCTGTCACTTGACAGTACAGGCACTGAGCAGGTGCTCTGTACATAGCTGTCCAATAAATACTCCAAGGATTTTTTTATATTGACCCATAAGGATTTATATTTATAACTCTGATTAATGGAAATAAAGCATGTTAATACTTGTCACAGTTTGCCATTCTTCCTGTCACTTCTGCATGGTTAGTATAATAAAGCTTTGTTTAAAAATTAGATTGACAATTAATACGAAGTGAGGAATTAAAAAACAACAACTTTTCTTAGAAACTTAAAATGTGCATTGTTGAACTTCAGACTTTTCAATGACAGTATCTTTCCAGGGATATCCTGGAGCTTTCAATTCTTTATTCTGATTATCTATGTCACGTCATGAATATAATTTACTGATAAAGTGAAACATCATCCAGGTAACACACACAACGTAGGAATTTGCAGAAATATCTACCTAAAGGGACATTGTCAAGATTAATCTCAGATACATATTTAAAAATGAAAATGCAATTCTGGGCTTTAAACTACTTTGCATTATCATTTTTTAATCTTTAGGAACCAAGAAGAAAGTGCTAGCTCCTGTTGTTAAACTGGGGTGGAGGAGATAGGGGCTAATGCTTTTTCAATAAACTTGTTTTCACTTGAGGGGGGACATAGCACCAAAAGAGTCTGGTATATTGTAGACAGTGGGGATGCAGGAAGGCTGTCCCTGTGTCTATGGGGGCATCTCCACTTTTCTCTGTGACACTTCTTTATTTGACAGCAGTTCTGTTGTCAGGTTCTTTGAATTCTTTGTTTGAATTACAGGAGTCCTAAGGGACCATAACCCTTTATATTTTTATATAGACCCTGATAAGAAAATAATGGCATGACTTTAAAACTGTTATCACACAAAAAGGGTGAGTCCAGGCTCCATTGAAATCAATGGCAAAAGTCTCATTGACTTCAGTAGAGTCCAGGAGTTCATCCGAAGTGTGTGTCGTGTTGTAAGATGCTCGGGTAAACAGCATTGTGCCTAATATAGTGTTGCTTTGCCACTACTGTTTTGTACAGTTATTCCTTAGTTGTAGAATATAAAGTATTTTGTTGTCCACACATGGAATGCTTTCTGCGTGGAATATATTTCAACATGAATATAATAACCCTGCCACTTGCACCACGCTAGGGATTTAATGAAATTTGAGGATTTTCCACAATAAATCCATATTTTCAGGAGGTTTCAATTCAACTAAATATTATCTCTGGACTGAAACTTGGCATTAAAGATCTAAGGCTGAGAGGTATTTTACTACTTACCTTTGGGGAAAAAATTGCTTGGCAATTTGAGATATGAGAGCAAAGAAAAACTAGAAATGATTATTATATTAATACAATTTTACTCAATTATTTTTTTTGCCTCTAGTGTGAATTACTCACTTTTTGGTATTGAAAAAGATAGCCCATTACTTTTTCTGTTTTGAAAATAGTTTACAGTACATGTATAATTTGTTGGGGGTTTTTTTGTATATGAATTTTTTGCATGTATATATTGACACAGTAGATAGAATATATAGTCTATCAAGTGTTTGATCTGCAAACTAAAATGTCTTCATATTTGCATTGACATGGAACCTTTGTAGGCTGTCATGATAATTGCACCCAGGCTTATCTGACAGATGCAGTTGTTATGGTCAATGATTTTAGAATTGCAAAATCCTTGGTACAAGTTAATCGTAATCTTTCTGAAATGTAGTTTGGAAGTTCGAGGCCTCAAAATTGGTTCATATCCATCCAGACTACATTGAATAACATCCCCCTTCCCCATCCTTCAAACACACACATCCATTTCAGGTTCATGTGTATTAAATGATACAGTATGCCTTAAGTGCTTAGCATACAGCAATTCTGACTGCCAGGGTTAAGGGGTAAATATAAGTAGGGTGGTTCCAATCCCAAAAGACGCATTTCCTCTGAAAGCAGATGTTTTCTTTCTGGCTGGTGGCAGAACGCTTGTATGCAAAATCACTGTTCCTGTTTATGTTCAGAATAAGTACATTTTAATAGGTTTGCATTTTAGTTATAAAACTTGTTGCATTTGTTTTTTTGGCAACCTTTTCTCAAGCAGGCTAGCTTGGATATCCAAGCTGCCTTAATGATCATTTCTGTACCTCTATAGACCTGTTGTTATAATGTTAATTGTGTTTTCACTAACTGTATTGTCCACTTGTAACAATTTGTCCATTGTTATACCAGTGTTACCAGTACTTGCCTAAATTAAATGACTTAACCCCTTTAGTCTCTTTTCTACATGTGACTCTAAAATAGTCAGATTTTTAAACACCTAGATACTTTGTTCTTTGCTAATTCTAATTAAATGAGTGGCACTTGCTATTACCTGCATATCCTTGGGAGCCTAAATGGTTTTTCTTCCCTCTTCTTAAAGTGTGATCATTAAACAATTTACACTTTTGTCAGGCAGGATAGCAACAGACTTGCGCATAGTCATGAGGTTGGAAGCTCCCACATACAATCTGTTGTCTCCTCATGGAGGAGCTGTGTCATCCTAAATTATCTCCACGTATTGATAAGTAGTATTCTGGCAAGAAAGGATGAGAGGCTGAGTGTAAAGTACAGTTCTAATAGAAGAAATGGACATATTCACCTTAGTGAATCCCACCAGTCCCTTTGTCAGAATGCTGTCTGCTGCCTCTGCTAAATTGTTTATGTTGGCTGCCCTGAAAGCTACCTGCTGAGCAGTAGAATCCACACTGAAAAAAGATTTCCCATTTCAATTTGATAATTCTGCCACCTAGTTTTCCAGTACATTAACTGCTTTGGGAACTGCTGTGTAGCATGGACTTAGTGGTTCACTGAATGGGAAGCAACGGGGGTTTGATGCAAGAGGTGTATGAGGTGTGTGTGGTTCTGTGACAGAAATAATAGATGTATACTGTAATGGTGTGTATTATACATAGTATCAATCCTGCCATTATCTCCAACCCATCCCTTAATATCTGCATTCCTAAAAAGTGTCTTAATATTTTCTGAATGCAGAGTTTTAGAGCAGAGACACAGATCTTTACCGTGAAGCTGCATCTAAACCAAACTGTGAATTGTGGGCTGTGGCACTTGGAGAAGCAAACTCAGAATAAAACTCAGCAGCTCCAGAGGTTGATCATGGAAATTAAAGAGGAGAGAACATCAGATGAGGCACAGCACTTTCTTCCTGCAACACAGGCAGACAATCTTAGGGAGCCTCCGTTTACAAGTAAGCGTGTATACTCTTTATTTCATTTTACACCGTAAATACTACTTTAAAAATGCCCCAAATTCTGTAATTGCACAAATCAATGGACATGTTGGAACTATAGTACAATTTAAATCGTTGACTAACAATTGGCTATACCAGAGGAAATAAACTGATTAATATTTTATTTAAACATTATTACTGTTTTAGATTTATGCAAATAACCTCCTTGGGGGGGAACAAAGGGTGTGATAACTACATTCTGATTTTTTTTTATAAGATTTAAAAAGTGGTAAATTGAAAGAAAAATACATGAACACATACACCACAACATAGTACAATATAAATTTGGTAAACTTAAGAAAGAGAGATGGCTAAATTCATCACTAGTACTATGGAACGGTTCCTTGAGAACACCTAACAGTATGTTAACTCCTACTCAGTGTACTAAATTCTGAAGATATGCAGTTAGTTATGAACTGAATCCTTTTTAGAGGATCTCAGTTGCCCAGTTACTTACCCATGTCAAATGTACATCCAACCTTCCTACTAAAGTCATGTTATAGACCAACCTGCTGAAAGTGGGGATGGTGCGCTTCAATTTTGTGAAATCTAGTTGTCAGAGCAGTTAATTATGTTTTTGAAAAACATGATTATATGTAGTTTATAAAGGCATTTTTAAATATTGCTATTATAAACTCTCCCGGATAGTTCATTCTGCAACTTTAAACTTTTGCAGAGGGCATACCGTTTTTCATTCTTTTATATATACCCTTTTTCATTTCATAGCCAAAAACTCCTTCCCTGTTGACTTCCATGCAAGTTCCTCTTTGTTATCATAGCCCCTTCTGTTTGAGCCTTTCTTTAGTAATGCTCAGTGGCAACAGGAGGCAGTTACAGTATGTCGTTCATCAATATTGCAGCCGTTTTCCAGTTACCTTCTGTGGAGGTTGAGCAACGCACGGTTACTTGAGCTGTTTCCCTCATTATCCCCATTGGTCAGCTTTGCAACTTAATGGTCCCTCTCAGACCCTGATGAATTAGGAACATGTTGCCATTTAAAATACAACAAATTATGTGCAACATTAAAGCACACTTCTAAAATGCAAGGGATTATAGTATACTCATACTCAGTATAAGAGAAAGGGAATTAATTTCCCTTCTTTCATATATAAATGTATGGACATTTTGCTGTACTGCAGTTTCTTGATAAAATAATATATGGTAAAGTGTTCTACTTTTATTAACCTGATTTATATACTTTGAGTGAATGTGGATATTTTTGTTGCAGTTTACGGTTTGATGGCTTATGCATTTAAAATGAACAATTACATACCATATTTTTCAGAGATATTTAGGCAACTGGGCAGTGTTGTGTTTGTAAACGTATTTAAAAATAAATCATATGTATATATCAGAAAGCGTACATCAGTAAAGGTTTTCTATTTTCTGAATTATTTTTTATTCTTCTACCTACACACACAAGGTAAAAGTGGTGTGATCTCTCAAAAAATGTGAATATGACAAAACATGGGTTTTTGTTTCTATATTGGCACTTTGTGAAAAGTTCTCTTCTACAGTATAATTTCCTTTAAAAACATAAAAAAAAAGGTAGATGCTTCCAACAGTGGCAAGAAGATATTGATATATAAGTAAAGCAAGTTAAGATTACAGTATATGAAACTAGAATTTACCTATTTTCTAACTTTTTTTTTTTTTAATATTAAAAGGTATCCAGAGGATTGCGAATGAGTCAAAGCTGGAGTTTGTCCTTGGTAAGTCATAGTTTTGATTTCTGTACAGAATGGACTGTATGGGCATATTCTGTGTCTATAATATTACATACTAGTTTTAAAAAATTGACACCCGTGTATAGTAGATACTGTGTGCCTATGTTGGAAATATTGGGGCTAGATTCTCAGCTGGTGAAAATTGCTGTAGTGCCATTGACTTAAGTAGGTCTACTTCATTTTATATCAACTGTATGGTATGGCCCATAATGTTTTATAAATCATTACATATTCTGGGCTAAGGAATTGAAAATCCCTATGTTTAAACTATGGGCAGCTCTATATTTTATTCGGCTATAATACTGTTCTTTTGAATAATGTATATATTTAGTTAAAAGCACAACTATTCCTTTGTAGGGAAAGGTTAATATCAATCTGTCTTTCTACTATATTTCTCCTTACTCTAGTGCATTTACAGGGGAGCAGTCTGTTTCAGAAGGTATTCTGTTAGTACATACCACCCACTCTATATAATATGGTTAGGAGAGTTCAGTCGGTCAAGCAGACTAATTGGCTGAACATGTTTCCTCATTGTTAACTTGATGTTTGGTAGCAGAAAGCATTTAAATTAAATTATTTCCTGATTTTTTTTGTTTTAGTTATTTAAGTTAACCCTCCATACTCCAAATTAGATTCCCTCATACTCAGTTAGACTGACTCCCTTTGAGTTACTTACACCCGCTATCAATGTCTAAAGCAGGATAAACTGGTGAAGTAAACGCATTAAGGAGCCAGAAGTAAGTTCATTAAAGCAGTATACTTTACACAGTCTTATGCTACCATAGACATTGGTAGAATTCTGTAGGTAGGTCTAAGGAAGTCTAAGTTCGTGTAATGAGTCTATTAGTATAAGGGGTCTAATGTATACATTACTTCCCAGTTTGGCCCTGTGACTCGAAAGAAGAGTAACTCATTAACTCTAAGGGAGTGTAAGTTGATGTAATAAACATAATGAGGAAACTGGAAGAAATTATGTTACATCCACTTAAGTCCCTGTAAACTTTCATAGACTTGTTTAAACTTGCCTCTGAATTTGGCACTTGAATCTAGAAGAGAAACTCCAACAGATCATAGCTGTAAAATTTGTTAGTTTGGGCCTAAACTGGTGGCCTGTCTTTCTAATCTAATTTATTTTATATGTAAGATATTAGTCACTGGATCTAGACTCTAAAGAAAATGTATAAGTATTATAGATATGTGTGTATGAGTAGGTTAGTTTATGTGTGTTAATAAATACACTTTTTAAAATTCTAAAATGTAAATAAATGATATTGTGCAGTTACTATCATTTAGGGGTAACTTTGCAGGTCCTCTGTCATTAGTGGTGAGTCGTACAGTAAATAACTTTCACAAATGATTGTCACTGGCAATTAAAATATAAAATATTCCTTTTGTACTATTTGAGTCTTGCCTAACACACATCCAGTGCTTTTTCAGGTACTTGGCTTGTGCCCTTAGGAGTTTCAGTGGTTCACTGCCATTTAAAATAATGACACTGAACATCAGTGCTGCACAGACATTGCACTCTTGTACAGCAGCAAAGGTCTTGCATGCTGTATATTAAACATATAGTTAGTTATATTGATTAGGGTTAAACAATGATTTGTAAATTTTCAAAGATTTCCACTAGGTTTCTTAGCCCTGCTGAAACTGTTATTAATTGGAGTCATGAGGCTAAAACCCTTCACAATTCAGAACATTTGGGAGTGATTGACTGTGATTTATAATAGCCTAACACAAATAAATCAAATATTGCATTAAGATTGCATGATTCTCTAATGTTAATTATTTTGGGATCTGCAGTTTATCAGAGCTTCCATTAAACAAGCGTCTCTGGTCTTTAGGTTCTTGAAGACCATTTCTGATATGTCCATTTTTTGAAGCTTAGGTCTCTTGAGTCTTTACTTTTTAAACTCACCTTGCTGTTTGGCTTTCCTAGTCACACTGCTCTGTTCTGTTTGCTGGCAGTGGACTGAAATGTATTAAAATCCTGTTTTCTGAAGTCCTATGAGCAATGCAAGAAGAAGCACATGAAATTCAATGCAGAGAACTGAGTGGGGGACAAGAACAGAGCAAAGGAAGAGCAGGAAGGGAGGAAATAAGTATGTGACTGATGCAACACCCATTGAATTCAGTGAGAATCTTTCCATGGACATCGATAAACACTGGATCAGGACCAATAGGGATTGGCCTCTTCTAGAGTTTCCTTTTCAATTGCTTTTTAAAAAATGTGGGCTCTTACTAATTCTTCCCAGTGTTAAAATTTCATTCAATTACTAAGGTATGTGATCCAAGGAATTGGTGATTTGGGGGATCCCCAGTGCAGTCTTCAGAAGTTTGACTATCTAGTGGTGTTTGCATTTACTTTTAGAGCAAAAGAGAAAACACAACAAGGAAGGAAGGAACAAAGCAGAGGAGGAAGTGGATAAGAAAAGCAGACAAGACAGTTAATAAAGGGCTCAGATATGACGGCAATGAGCATGGTATAAAAACTTAGAAGGAATTAACAAACTCTAATTTGGGCATATTATTTATCCATCCTGCCATGGCCAGTGGAAATGGATTTTATATGTTCCTGCCATAGCAGACAATTAGGTACCATGGTGATGGTGCTCAGATATCACAATGATTGATGGGGTATAAGAATCCAGATAGATAGTTGGTAAAGATTGTGTCAGCTTTGTATAGATTTTGTGCTGGCACATAAGAGAATGACTTTAGGGACAGTATTCAATTTATAAAACATCCCTGAAATTTTGCAGTATGTCCTGAAATGTTTCTGAGGCATGAGATTTGAAGGACTGTTTCATATTTGTTTCTTGTATAGCTTTAGCTTATTTCCAGCATAATAATAATAATGGTATAGGTATAGTCACTGATGTAAAAATCTAATTGAATAGAATTTTTCACAGGATTCAGAGAGAGTGTGGTACTCAGTGGGTTAATGATGAAATTGAAATCTTTAGGGCACTTGTATTTTTTTTCCAAGAGGGGTTTGAAAGTGGAGCTGTCTGCCTGTACAAGTAAAAGGCTTAGTTCTTTCTGTCATAACATTTCTCCCTGAATAATATTGTGATAGTGCTTAATTGTAGAAGGTCATGAAGCTGATTTAACTCTGCATTTGAAACCCAAATGTTACACTGCTCAAGTACTCTGATTAAATGTTTTCTTCAACTCCAGTGCACCATCTATAGTTCTTTAGGCAGCAGCTCTTGTCACATGACTGGTAAGCAGAAACATCATTTTAACCATGCCAAAATTTGATGTCAGAGTCCTGGTCCTGCCACAACTCCCCCAGTCACCAGTTTCCGCAATGCCTTGTTATACTTTGAGTCTTAGAAACAGATGACAAAAGAAGTATTAATTAGTCCAAAGCAGATCAATGAAAACAAAAGGTGGAGTGGGTCCAGGCAATAAACATTTATTTATCAGAGAGCTATGCCAACCCCTGCTGCTGGATGTATTTGGCTTTATTGGTCTCAAGACTCTGAACTAGGGTTGTCTCCTATCTGGGTTTTGGCTTCTGTATCTGGGTGCCATTTAGGGTTGCCGGGTGCCCAGTTTTTGACTGGAAAGTCTGGTTGAAAAGGGGACCTGGCAACCCTAAATGGCACCTGACCCAAAAGTCCGGTTACCAGAGTGTCGGGGGAGATGCTGGGTCATTAACCCATGCCAGCCCCGCTCAGCTGGGGCTGCCTCCTACCTACAGGCAGGCTGCTTGAGACCATCCAGCGGGCGACAGGGAGAGGGGAGTGAGTGATGGGGTCAAGAGGAAGAGGTGGCGCACGGGCGGGGCCTTGGGAAAAGAGGCAGGGAGGGGGCAAGGCGTTGGTTGTCTGGTTACCAGCAATTAGAAGGTTGGCAACCCTACTCTGAGCCTTAGAGTGGGAGATCTTGGAACTATGTGTTCTTTTGAGACACTTAGTAACCAGCTGCTCTGGTAAACCTGTCTGAGTGCAGAGAAGCCTCTTGAAAGCATAGGAAACCCTAAACCCAATCTACATCTTTTGTAAAGAGGTTGATTTTGATTTAAAAAGTCCTAAATGTTTTTAGACGTAGCTACTTGGGAAATCACCTCTTCCCCCCCATGTGGTGTTACATTTGTGATGAGCAGAGGTGCCTGAGCTAACACTCTCCTGGATTAAAAGTAAGAGACTAGTGATAGGACATTTTCCATTAAAAAAAAAAAGTCATTAGCTACGGAGCATACTCCACTCTTGTTGACCTTCAGGGCATGCTGTAGGCTTCTCTCTTCTCCAGCAGCCTTTTTGTAATAGAATGAGTTGAGGCAAATGGGGTGGCTGGATAAAAGAGATTTTTCTTGAGTGATGTTAGCCTCTCCATAGCTAAGGTTAAAGCTTGTTTCCCATTATAAACACAGTTAAGCTCTACAGCTCCTTCCTCCCAAATTTCTGCAATAGGAAACCAGTCTTCCTGAATTTCATATGCCACATACTGTCCCAGAGTAGAGAATTGTTATGGCTGCTCTGCATCTGTGGCATGATTAAAATCAGCTGGACCACACCAGATATTTTGCCTGCTTTGCACCACTCCAATGCTACAAATTAGTCATCATCTATCACTGGAGTTGTGTGAGCAATTGGAGTTGTATCAATGAATTGGCTTTTACATATTTCGCTTTCATCTTTAAGGCTCTGCATAACTCTTCTCTGGCCTACTCATCTCACTCTTTACAAATTGCCCCACCCCCACCTCTCCTGGGTCTCCTCCACTCTCCTAACTACATCAGCCTAGATGCCCTGTTTGTTCTTTTTCATTTTGTCTGATTAAGGCTTCTGCCTGTCACTTGTGATAAGAAAAACTGACCCAAGAGTCCTAGTCTGGAGTACTGGAGGTGCTGAAACATCACCTTCAGGAACAGATTTGAAATGTAAGTAAGGAATTGTTCCTTTGTCGACATCCCATCTTCTATCCAATGTAGCATTACTCCTGCTTGTTCCTTTTTAGCTAATTAGCTATCATCT